CTGTGATGCTGGAAGCTATGCCACCGGTATTCAGATACCAGCAGGGTCACGCATGGCAGACAGGTTTCAGCTGAGCTTCCAGACTACGACAGACTACGAAGAAGGACCTGGCAGTCTACTTTTGAACATAATTAGCCAGTGAAAACCTTATGAATAGCAGCAGAACATTGTCTGATACAGTGCTGGAAGATGAGTCCCACAGGTTGGAAGGCACTCAAAAAACGACTGGGGAAAAGCTGCCTTGTCAAAGTAGAGTCGACCTTAATGACGTGGATGAAGCCAAGCTTTCAGGACCTTAATTTGCTGAGGTGGCACTACTCAAAATGAGAAGAAACAGCTGCAAATATCCATTAATAATCGGAACATGGAACGTATGAAGTATGAATCTAGAAAAATTGGGAATTGTCAAAAATGAAATGGAACGCCTGAGCATCGATACCCTAGGCATTACTGAGCTGAAATGGACTTGTGGGAATTTAGAATCAGTCAGATGGTCTGCTGTGCCGGGAATGACAACTTGCATTCATCATCAAAAAGAATGTTTCAAGATCTATCCTGAAATACAGCACTGTCAGTGATAGGATAATATCCATACTCCTACAAGGAAGACCAGTTAATATGACTATTATTCAAATTTACGCACTAACCGCTAAGGCCAAAGATGAAGAAACTGAAGATTTTTACCAGCTTCTGCAGTCTGAAATTGATAGAACATGCAATCACGATGCATTGGTGATTGGACTGCAAAAGTTGGAAACGAAGAACGATTGGTAGTTGGAAGATACGGCCTTGGTGATAGAAACGATGCCGGAGATCGCATGATAGAATTTTGCAAGACCAGTGACTTCTTCATCGCAAATACCTTTTTCCACCAGCATAAACAGTGACTATACACATGGACCTCACCAAATGGAATACACAGGAATCAAGTCAACTACATCTGTGGAAAGAGACAATGGAAAAGCTCAATATCATCAGTCGGAACAAGGCCAGGGGCCAACTGTGGAACAGACCATCAATTGCTCCTATGCAAGTTAAAGTTGAAACTAAAGAAAATTAGAACAAGTCCACGAGAGCCAAAGTACGACCTTGAGTATATCCCACATGAATTTAGAGACCATCTCAAGAATAGATTTGATGCCTTGAACACTAATGACCGAAGACCAGATGAGTTGTGGAATGACGTCAAGGACATCATACATGAAGAAAGCAGGAGGTCATTAAAAAGACAGGAAAGAAAGAAAAGACCAAAATGGATGTCAGAAGAGACCTCTGAAGATTGCTCTTGAACGTCAAGTAGCTAAACCAAAAGGAAGAAATGATGAAGTAAAAGAACTCAACAGAAGATTTCAAAGGGCGGCTTTAGAACACAAAGTAAAGTATTATAATGACATGTGCAAACAGCTGGAGAGAGAAAACCAAAAGGAAAGCATACGCTCGGCATTTCTCAAGCTGAAAGAACTGAAAAAAAATCAAGCCTTGAGTTGCAATAGTGAAGGATTCTATGGGGAAAATATTAAACGATGCAGGAAGCATCAAAAGAAGATGGAAGGAATACACAGAGTCATTATACCAAAAAGAATTGGTCGACATTCAACCATTTCAAGAGGTAGCATATGATCAGGATGGTACTGCCGATGGTACTGAAGGAAGAAGTCCAAGCTTCCCTGAAGGCATTGGTGAAAAACAAGTCTCCAGGAATTGACAGAATATCAATTGAGATGTTTCAACAAATGGATGCTGGAAATGCTCACTCGTCTATGGAAGACAGCTACGTGGCCAACTGACTGGAAGAGATCAATATTTATGCCTATTCCCAAGAAAGGTGATACAACTGAATGTGGAAAATATCAAACAATATCATTAATATCACACACAAGTAAAATTTTGCTGAAGATCATTCAAAAGCGGCTGCAGCAGTACATCAGCAGGGAACTGCCAGAAATTCAGGCTGGATTCAAAAAAGGATGTGGAACCAGGGATATCATTGCTGATGTCAGATGGAGCCTAGCAGAGAATACCAGAAAGATGCTTACCTGTGTTTTATTGACTATGCAAACGAATTTGACTGTGTGGATCATAACAAATTATGGATAACATTGTGAAGACTGGGAATTCCAGAACACTTAATTGTGCTCATGAGGAACCTGTACATAGATCAAGGGGCAGTTGTTTGGGCAGAACAAGGGGATACTGCGTGGTTTAAAGTCAGGGAATGTGTGCATTAGGGTTGTATCCTTTCACCATACCTGTTCAACCTGTATGCTGAGCAGATAATCCAAGAAGCTGGACTATATGAAGAACGAGGCATCAGGATTGGAGAAAGACTGATCAACAACCTGCATTATGCAGATAACACAACCTTGCTTGCTGAAAGTGAAGAGGACTTGAAGCACTTACTGACGAAGATCAAAGACCACAGCCTTTAGTATGGATTACACCTCAACATAAAACAAAAATCCTCACAACTGGACCAATAAGGAACATCACGATAAAAGGAGAAAAGATTGAAGTTGTCAAGGATTTCATTTTACTTGGATCCACAATCAACACCCATGGAAGCAGCAGTCAGGAAATCAAAAGACGCGTTGCATTGGGCAGATCTGCTGCAAAAGACCTCTTTAAGGTGTTAAAAAACAAAGATGTCACTTTGAGGACTGAGGTGCACCTGACCCAAGCCATGGTATTTTCAGTTGCCTCATATGCATGCGAAAGGTAGACAATGAATAAAAAAGACCGAAGAAGAAGAATTGGTGCGTTTGAATTATGATGTTGGCAAAGAATATTGAATATACCATGGACTGCCAAAAGAACGAACAAATCTGTCTTGGAAGAAGTACAGCCAGAGTCCTTCTTGGAAGTGAGGATGGCAAGACTTCGTCTCACATACTTTAGATGTGTTATCAGGAGGAACCAGTCCCTGGAGAAGGACATCATGCTAGATAAAGTAGAGGGTGAGCCAAAAAAGAGGAAGACTCTCAATGAGGTGGACTGACACAGTGGCTGCAACAATGGGCTTAAACACAGCAACAATTGTGAAGATGGCGTAGGACCTGGCAGTGTTTCGTTCTGTTGTACATAGGGTTGCTATGAGTCAGAACTGACTCAACAGCACCTAACAACTACAGCAATTGTTGAGGACCAGGGGGACAAGGGAGATGGAGAATTCAAGCACAACTCCTATATTTCTGGCTTGTTCACCAAGAAGAACACTCAGTAAGATAGGGGCCACTGGAAAAACACTGGTAATCTGGCTTTTGATTTTGGACATAATGAGTTTGAGGAGTTTATGAGGAAGATATCAAATGGGTGTTTAAATACACAAGTATGGAGATATACAATTTGAGAGGGATTAGTGTACGGATAGTAATAGAAACCACAGCATCAATGAGATTGCCTCAGAGACTGAGAGAAGAGAGCCAAGGACTAAATCTTGAGGAACTCCAAAGCTGGATAAATGGAGACCGAGAGGAAGTGATCAGGATAGGAAAATCAGGGGAGTGTGGTATCACAGCAGCCTGGGGAGGATAATGTTTCAAGAAGAGTTTGAAGGGGAGATGGTGTAAATAGTGTCTAATGCTACTCAGAAGACAAAGCCTGAGAAGTGTCCATTGGAATCAGCAGTATGAAGGTTGTGGATGACCTTGAGAAGAGGCCTTTCAGCCGAGTGATGAAGGCAGGGCCTAGATTGGAGCATGCTGAGGAGTGCCTGGGAAATGGAGTCTCTTGAGGAAATGGAATGTCTCATACAACTCTTTCAACAAATTTGGGGGACGGCAAGGGACAGGGCAGTGACTGGAGGGGACAGGGAGAGGGGATGGGGTTGAGGTAGGTTTTGCTAAGATGGGAGAGGCTTAAAAAGGTTTAAATGTTATTGGGAAGGATGCAGAGAGAAGTTGACTATACAGGAGAGAAAGGAAGAAAATGGATTCACAGCACATGTTTAAGGGTGGTCTCTGGAAGAAGGGAGGCACATTGCAGGTGGGTTGGTAGGCTGAGTTCCCATTGGATTAAAAAAAAAAAAAAATCCTGTTGTGTCAAGTTGATTCCGACTCATAGCGACCCTATAGAACAGAGTAGAACAGCCCCATAGGGTTTCCAAGGAGCACCTGGTAGATTCAAACTGCCAACCCTTTGGTTAGCAGCCAAGCTCTTAATCACTACGCCACCAGGGTTTCCTCCCATTGGATGGCTTGTGGTTTTTTCTAATTCCAAGTTCAAAGCTCTTGCCTTCACCATTCTGCCTCACATTGTGTCCTGTAAGATCATCCTTTCCAAGGGGATTTAAAAATCCACTAAATTATTCTGGGCAAAACTGCTGCAAAAGACCTCTTTAAGGTGTTAAAAAGCAAAGATGTCACTTTGAGGACAGAGGTACGCCTGACCCAAGTCATGGTATTTTCAATCACCTCATATGCATGCGAAAGCTGGACAATGAGTAAGAAAGACCAAAGAAGGATTGATGCCTTTGAATTATGGTGTTGGCAGAGAATATTGAATATATCATGACTGCCAGAAGAACGAACACATCTGTCTTGGAAGAAGTACAGCCAGAATTCTCCTTAGAAGTGAGGATGGTGAGACTTCATCTCACGTACTTTGGACATATGGTTAGGAGGGACCAGTCCCTCGGGGAGGACATCATGCTGGGTAAAGTAGAGGGTCAACAAAAAAGAGGAAGACCCTTAATGAGATGGATTGACACAGCAGCTACAGCAATGGGCTCGATCACAGCAACAATTGTGAGGGTGGCGCAGGACCGGGCAGTGTTTCGTTCTGTTGTACATGGGGTCGCTATGAGTCAGAACTGACTTCAAGGAACCTAAGAACAACAAATTATTCAAGAGGTGTCACCGATCCCTCCTACAGTGGTCCTGCAGTTAGCTCACCTACCATTTGATAACTCTCACACTAACCCTGGACGCTGTGCTTCACAGACCCTGGGGTTCTGTAGTGTAACAGAGATTTCCTAAACTAAAAAGTGGCATAACTACTTACCATGTTACTGAGAATTTGGTCTCGGGGATTAAATCATGTATTTCTTGCCATTCTTGGGGTATATCAATAAAATCTCGGTAAACCTTGATTTGTAGCACTGATCCTATGGTGATATGTTGCAAAAGCTTTAAAAATTCTCGAAGAGTATATCCTAACACGTTGGCATGGCCAACACTGATCAGAACATCACCTGAAGGAAAGAAAATTACCAGAAGTAAGATAATGGTTTAAAGGGGTCATATTGATTTCTGGCTAAAAGTGAGGCACTTTGTTTTATGGGTTCATATTGCTGGCTCATTTTGAACCAAAACCAGGCTTCAGCCTTATTTAATAAAAGTGTTCCTGTGAGTGGCATGAGTGTCCTTTGCATAAGGAAGAATACATGCAAGAAGTTTTTCTATAGTAGTGTAATGTAGATATTATATTTGTGGGACACTTTTGAAGTCCTTGATGTGACACAGGCTAAAAGCCACTTATAATCGGAACCATCCTTTAGGATTCTAAAAATGTATTTGTTTCAAATAAAATGCATGGCTACTACTACCACAGAAAAAAACCACTTACACTAAGTGATGAATAAATGACATGCTTTCTATTGTACTTGCCTGGCAATTTCCAGTGCCTTCCACAGTAAATAGACCATATTAAACATCAGACCTTTCATTATAATGTTCTGTCCTTGTGCGGTATTATTGAGCAAATAGTTCTGTATGAAATATCGACCAATAAGCATGCTCTAATTAAAGTTTAAAATGTATATTCAGAGAGTATACTGGTTCAAAGGGATTTGACAGCTAGATCCCCAATTTTAGGGCAATGCTGGGCAGGGACGGAGGCGTGATGGTCAACCATGGAGCTTCTGAGCCCCCAGCAGATGGGAAGAGGATGGCATCTTGGCAACAAGCCCTCCTACCCTCAAACTGGAAGCTAAAAAGACCAATTATTCACTTGTACTGGCCTCCCCCGCCTCCCTGCCCCCAACAGCTAGGACCTGGACATGTAAACTATGTCCAGCCATAGGACATGCCCACCTGAGTCGCTGAACCTGGAACAGGAGATGCTGCAGGAACATCTGGTTTCCAGGGGTGGTTATACATGGCCCTTTGTTCTTGCCCCATTTTCCAAGCCCGGTTCTCCAGCCTTTCTGACAATTCTGTCAGACTTCGTATCCCAAATTCAGTGCCTTACAGAATCGTTTAATCTTGCTTACAGTGTAGAACATGGATGGCCACATGGGTGTTCAGCAAGAAAGGAAGGAATAACACAAAGGAATTGCTTGGAAAGGACAGGCTTACACTGGGTGAAATCTAAGTCTTCCAATCTTACTAGAACTAACATCCTGCCATATGGTAATGGGGACTTTATAGCTGACATGGGATGAAATAACTCCAATAAAGTCCCAAAGTCTCTGTGCGTGGGAAACTAAGGACCCCTCAATCACCCTTCTTCCAAGATAGCTGAAGCCTAACCTCAGAGGAGACAAGGTTGAGATGAAGTTCTACCTTCTCTTTGATACTACACCCCACTGTGCTTAAATCAGGATTTATACTGATCCCAAAGGAAGTCTCCAAGGAATGCAAGGAAAAATTTCCATAGTGCTGGATCCTACCAGAAACAAAAATTCCCAGGATAAAAGGAAATGAATACTAGAAAGGTTGAAAAAAAAGCTGCTACTTAAAAAGCAGCTCAGGAGTAAAACCAAGTATCTGAAACTAATTCAGAACCAAACGAACCTTCTCCCAGCTACCTACAGATAGTGCAGTATGAAGCAGAGCTCCTCCTACAGAGGTTAATTACAATGGCAAAGAGCTCCCAGGATGCCTAATGTTAAAAGGAGTGTTTATAGCCCAAAGCAATGGGTTGGCATTCTGCTTAATTATGTTGTAAAAGGGTGACTTATCAAGAGGGCAGAAAATAAACAGGCTAATTCCCTGATCGTTATGGCTGCAAACCAAATGTGTCACTGTATGAACGTGATTACTCTGGCAGCAAATATTAACATTGCCCTTCATAAAGAAACGCCAATTTCGTATTTATGAACACCAACCTCATTACATATTTTTTTTCTGTTGTAATGGGCTGTAAGAATCACATTATATAAGCTTTGTCTTGATTACCTATATTAAATCAACTTTGCAGCAGCCAAGCCACTACTGAAAAATAGATTTTATGTCTTTTTCACCACATCTCCCAACTAAGCTATAAGTTCCATAAGATCCATGTGGTTAGGGGCCACATCTGTTTGGCTCACCACTATACCCCCAGGGGCCTAGCACGGTGCCTGAACACAGCAGGCATTCACATAAATGCATATTGAATGAATATGACCTGGTAAGAGTGATGGTCAGTAAATGACTTTTGTTTATCTTCAAAGCTATATCAATTCCTGAAGCCTTTGGGTATCAGAGTCTATTCTGATCAGTATCTAAAGCCACACTGGCCAAAAGGAATTCAAAGTTTAGCTAGATAAACTAACACTCAACTAAATTAGGAAATCAGCATCAACCTCTAGAGATCCTATTATGAAACACCAATAGAGAGAAATTGAAAACACATGAATAAGTGCCTGGGCCAGGAGGCAATGTATTTAAAATTTAAAAAAAAAAAAAAAGTCTGTAAGAATATGGTCTCATCAAATCTCAGAATCACTGGCAAAAGGATGGAATTACAGGGACTTTGAAACCTAGACAGTGTAAAGAATGTGGCTGACTTGTCATGAAGAGATTCGGGCTCTAGACTTCTGTAATGAAATTTCTTTTCTAGTCATTAGGCAAATAGCTAGAAGGGCCGGGGGCTTTTTGGGCAGACTTAAGTTCAAATCCCAGCACTGACCACTGACTTAGCTGTTACTTCATTGGAAAAGTTACTTCACCTCTCTACCTCAGAAAATTGTTACAAAGATTAAACTAGATAATATATGTGGAATCACCTTGCACAGTGCTTGGGACAAGTGCTAGCTTATTGTTCATTTATTAAGCCCAGATGTAATAAATGTGTCTGTACTATAAATAAGTCTGGGATTTAAAAGATGAATTTAACACTGCCCTGACCTCCACATGAGATTCTATGTCATGTGCACAAACACGTCCTCGTGTCCCACTCTTAGCAAGTGTACACCTTGGTTATCAACCAGCATCTGTCACGAGACCCCAGGGAAGCCAAGGAGAACATGCAGAAAAGCTCATGGGGCCTGTCCTGGAGTTCTTTTGCTCTGGAGAGTCCAGAACTCTCCTTTGGGTGGTTTGTTCCCCAGCATCAAGCAGTGATATGTGGGAAAATGCTCTGGATTTTAAGGTGAGCCTAACTTGTAATAGTATCACGTATCTACTTTCTTCTTCACTCCTCTCCTTCTGACCCTGGCTGCCAATTGGAATCACCTGAGAAGCTTTTAGGAGTCCTCATGGCACAGTGGTTAAGAGCTTGGCTGCTAACCAAAAGGTCTGACAGTTCAAATCCACCAGCTGCTTCTTGGAAACTATGGGGTGGTTCTTCTCTCTCCTGTAGGGTCACTATGAGTCGGAATTGACTCGACGGCAACAGGTTTGGTTTTGGTTTTCTGGAGAAGCTTTTAAAACCTAAACTGCCCAGGCCCCACCCCAGACTAATTGAATCAGAACCTCTGGAAAGATGGGGACCAAGCGTCTTAGTTTTAAAAGCTCCCCAGGTGATTCTAACAGGTAACCAGTGTTGCAAACCAGTGGTTTAAACCATGGGGCTTCTGTACCACAATCATTTTTTATTTAAAACACACACACACACACACACACACACACACAACTCTAGAGAATCCATATGGAAAACAAGCCTAAGAGAAATAACTGCCAACATGTCGGTAGCACTTTGGTTTTCAAAGCACGCCCATAAAAATTGTTTCATCAATCCTAGCAACCTCTGTTGTTGTTGTTAGGTGCTAGCAAGTTGATTCCGACTTATAAAGACCCCATGTAACAGGGTAGACCTGCCCCATAGGGTTTTTCAGGCTGTAGTCTTTATGGAAGCAGCTCACCAGGTCTTTCTCCTGCAGAGCTGCTGGGTGGGTTCGAAACACCAACTTTTCAGTTAGCAGCTGAGAGCTTAACCATTGTACCACCAGGGCTCCTTGACAAAGGTATATTACCCTGATTTAGAGACAAGGCCACTGAGGCCTGGAAAGTTAAGTGACTTTGTCTAAGATCACAGAACTAGAAAGCAGCAACTCCCAAGCCAGAATGCAGCCCAATTAACGCTTCTCACCGCTTTACCATTCCATCAGCACCAGGCCCAGGGTAGGCACTAGGAAACACATCTTGAATTAAATGGAAAATTCCCTTCATCCAAAGATAAGAGAATCCATTAAAATCCATTTTCATCAAGTCAATTCCAACTCAAAGCAACCCTAAAGGACAGAGTAGAACTGCCCCATAGGGTTTCCAAGGCTGTAAATCTCTACAGAAGCAGACTGCCACATATTTTATGCCGCAAAGTGGCCGGTGGGCTCAAACCACCGACCTTTTGGTTGCAGCTGAGCTCTTAACCACCGCACAGCCAGTGCTCCTAAAGATAAGAGAAGCAGGGCAGCATTGGCAAAGCACTTGTGCTCTGGAGTCTGACCAACAGGATTCAAATCCCTGCTTCAGTGTGTCCCTGGGAAAGTTTCTAAATATCTGATTCCTTATCTTTAAGGTGGTTTAATGCAGAATCTACCTCAGGTTGTTGGGAGGATGCAATGAGATGATGCACCTAAATGTTAGCAATGATTAGTCCTGCCTACGAAAGAAGAAATCCTTATCCACAGAGAGTCATAAGCTCCAAAGTGACACTGCTTGTGTCTGTATCCCACTTACCAGATGGGGGTGACCCTGGCAAGGAACTTGATCTCACCGAGCCTCAGTTTCCTCACCTATAAACCCACCGCCGTCGAGTCGATTCTGACTCATAGCAACCCGGTAGGACAGAATAGAATGGTGCCCATAGAGTTTCCAAGGCTGTATTCTTTACGGAAGCCGACTGACACATCTTTCTACCACGGGTGGCTGCTGGGTTCGATTAGCAGCCAAGAGCATAACCACTGTGCCACCAGGGCTCCTTTCACCCATAAAAAACCCACTGCCAAAAGGTCCTCCAAGGTCAAGAAGGGAGAGTGTCGACATTTTGTGGGTTTGTTAACCAATGTCATAAAACAATATGTGTACCGACTGCGTAATGAGAAACTACTTGTTCTGTAAACCTTCACCTAAAGTACAATTTAAAAAAATTAAAAAATAGGTAGATAAAAGGTAAGATAGGTGCCAAAATGTAATAAATATAACACTTGAAAAAAAAAAAAAAAACAACCCATTGCCGTTGAGTCAATTCCGACTCAGTGACCATGTAGGACAGAGTAGAACTGCCCCATAGGGTTTCCAAGGAGCAGCTGGTGAATTCGAACTGCCACCCTTTCGGTTACTAGCTGAGCCCTTAACCACTGCACCATCAGGGCTCCTCACCTATAAAAGGCGGATAATAATAATAGCTCCTACCAAGAGGGTTATTGTGAGAATTAAACAAATGAATACACACAGCAGTGGGAGATTTATAAGTGAGAGCGACTGGCTGGCCCATAGAAAGCTCTCAAACAATGTCATCATCATGGTTCCACTGAAATGTAATGACCAAGTCTCCCAAAGGTTGATAGGAGGAAGGTAGGGGAAACCACGGTCACCTGGCTGGAGTTTCCCGTCCTGGGCTGCAGCTCCCTTCTTGATGAGGTGGATGATTTGGAGGTAGGGACCATGCTGGATGATGATCAGACCTAATCCCAGGCTGCCCACAGTGAGTTTGGTCTTCTGCGTTTTGCTCAAGGTGTGTACAGACACCTTGACCTTGAGGTCGACCAGTCCTTCTAATAGAAAGAGGAGAACTTGTTTCAGTCCTTCACCTAGAAGGCCACATGGCTGTAGTGCACTGGGGTGCCGAACTAGACCCCTGGGGCACTTACTGAACCTCTCTGTTCCTCAGTTTCCTCATCTGTAAAATGGAGATGATATTAGTATCTACCTCAGAGGGTTGTATTAAGATTTCCATGAGACAGTTAAAGGCTTTTGCACAGTGCCTGGCACACTGTAAGTGCTCAATCAATGTTAGTTATTATTATCTACTCACTCAACAAATATTTGTTGCGCAGGCAGTGTTTACCATGGTGAGGAAAACAAATGTGTTTCTTGCCCTCATGGATCTTACAGTCTAGTGGAGGAGACAGGTATCAATCAATCAGTCCCATAAATATATGTTGAATAACAAACTGTCAGACATGTGCTCTGAGTGAACGACAGGGGGCCTGGCCTGGAGAAGGCAGGGCAGGCTCCCCTGAGCAGGTGACTTTTGAATTGAGGTCGAAAGGACCAATAGGAAATATTTAGGCAAAGGGGGGGATGGGTGGAGGCTACTACGTGAATCAAGGTTCTGAGACTGGAAGGACCAAGGCCTGTCAGAGGAACATAAAGACCAGTGGGAAGGAGGCAGGAGGAGCAAGGGCCAAGCAGACAGGGGCTGGCTGTTGGGCCATGCTGAGGAGGTAAGAAGTTACCTCAGTGAAAAAGCTTAGAAGGGATTTCATCAGGGCATGATCGGATTTTCTTTTTTTTAAACCCTCTGGCTGCTGTTTGGGGTGTGGAAGGGATGTGGGGAGTGTAAGGATTACTGCAGTCACTCAGGCAGGTCATGGTGGTGACGGTGGAATGGCCAGTAGATGGATTCAAAAAGCATTTGGGAGAAAACTCCACAGGCCTTGAGGACAATGGGTGGGTCGGGGGTAGGTGGAAATATGTTTTCTATAGAACCCAATCTCACAAGAAAAATGTCAAGGACTGAGGAGTGATTTAAAACAACAATAACAAGAAGTTATTTTCCCAAGAGGAAGTTTGTGAGGAGACTTGCCCTCAGCATACCTCCCCAGCATTTCCCACACAACACTTTTCTTGAGGACAAGTGACAAACTGCTACTTGCCAAGCTTTGGCCAAGTCTATGTACCCATGGTCTTTCGGGGGCCTCTGAGCATCCCCACTGCTGAAGAAGGGGCCTCGCCTAACCCCAGCTCTGAGGCTGGCAAGCTTCAGGGTCCTTCACTCAAAGCAGCTATCCTTGCTCATCACCAACCACCCTCTACCTTCCCTGAAACCACAGATGCTCTGGGACAGTCGCTGGTGCCACTGCTACCCTGCTGAATGGTGACTCTGCTGACACTTCTTGTTTCCACGAGGTCACCAACTGAAAAACGGAACTATGCGAGGGGCGGGGCGCCCCCTCCCACTTTAAGCCTACTCAAAAAATGTAAATCAGAAACCCTGATCTACAATCTGTTCCCTTGTCTTCAAATATTCTCTCGTCTGTAAAATAAAATAGCATAATACAAAGAAGATTACTGTCTTCAGAGATTTTCCAGGATTACAGAAGCAACTTCGGGCAGGTCATCCCTGCAGCCTCTGTTCCCGTGTACACAGTGAAGCCGCATCTTTAATTGCAACCTTAGCTTGCAAATTAAATGTGCTTACAATGTGAAACTACTATGAAATGCAGTCTGAAAAGACAGCAGGGCTAAGAGAAAGAAGCCAGACTCAAAAGGCTCCATGCTGTATCATTCCATGTTCATGACACTCTCCATGGGAAAGGCAAAACTACAGAAAACAGATGGGGGTGTGAGGGGAAGAATGGGCAAAGGGATCCGCCGCAAAGAGGCCGCACAAGGTAATTTTGGGGGTGGCAGAACTGTTCCATATTTTGATTGTGGTTGTGGTTCAACGTCGGTATACATTTGTCACATCTCAGAGATATATATACTGAAAAGGGGGAGGAGGGATCTTACTGTACGGAAATCATACCTCAATAAATAAATGATGGCGAGAGGTTATCTCCCAGCCCATTCTACAAAGGCGGAAAAGTGAGGAAGCCTTAGTTCCCAGGGCATCTCCTCCTCCCTCCCTACTGCCCAGTTACCATTCTTGCTTTTGTGGGTGGCCTTCTCCATGGCCCCGGGAAGGCGAGTGGCTCAGGAGGGCCCCCCCGGAGCCGAGGCTGGAGTCGGTCCAACTCCCAACAGTTTCGAACCCGTGACGCGCGGCACACTACAGGCAGACAGCGGGCGGCGAAGAAACCACCGCAGTGAGGAGACTTCATGCGCCGCCCCCAGGCGGGACGCCAGGGGGTGCTGCTGCGACGCTGTCCGGAAGTTGGGCGGCAGCGCAGTCACAAGGTCTTAGTAAACCGCAGCGCACATGGCAGCACACTGAGCTTCAAAGTAGTGTGTGAAGGGTTGGTGGAGCAATTACAAAACTTCTGCAGGGATTAATAGAGTGCCCGGCCCACAGTGGGTTCCTCATCCATTGTTTTTTTTCTTTTTAAGTAATATTTTATTATGTTTTTGGTGAAAATTTACACAACAAATTAGGTTCCCATTTGACAATTTCTGTACAAATTGTTCAGTGACATTAGTTACATTTTTCATACGTGTCAACATTCTCTTTAACTGTGTTCTGGTTTTTCCATTTCCAGTGCTCTAGTTTCCCTACCCCCTTAACTTCTCATCTTTGCTTTAGAGTAATTGTCGACCTCTCCATCCATTCTTGAACTATTGAAGTAGGGAGGGCAGAGGAAGCAGAGAGCAGAGTGTCCCAAAGATGTGAGATGCTTTACACAGGAGGATCACAGAAGAGCATTAGAATACTCTGCTGTGCTCCTAATAATAACGCACCGTTTTCATGGGTATGCTGAATGAGAAAAGGCCAAAGGTAGCCTGAAAAATGACTCACGTTAGGAGAGGACTCAATTCTTCCTTCTTTCTTCCAAATTAACCCTTCCTCCCACACCCATTCATTCAGACAAATATTTACTAGAAGCTTCCTCTGTGGTTTGTGCTGATGTTGGGGATACAACAGTAGACAAGACAGAGATGCTATCCTCTTAGAGCTTACATATAAAAAAGAGATGAAACAAACAATTTTAAGAAAACATAAATTATAAAAAATAAATTCTAGAAGAAATAGAAAACAAGGTAATGAGGTAACTCCTGATGTTATCACCATGCTGATGAAAACAAGGACACCTGTTCCTTCAACAAATCGTTAGCCAGCAAGCACCTAGTAGGTGTCAGGCACTGTGCATGGGTTTCTGAGGCCAACCTGGACAGGTCCCAGCTTGTTCTGCTGTCTCTGTGGCTCTACCTAGACAATAAACCAGGGCAGATATCTCATTGGATAAACTCTGGGTCGTAGAGCCTGATACAAAGGGAAAGGAATGGAGTCAACTCTAGCTCTGCTGCTGTCACCGGCGAGTCTCCTGCTGGAGGTTTCTCGTGATAGTTGCCCGTTTCTTCCTCCAAGCAGTCTTGGCAGTGTGTTTACCCAGATGCCAAATCAGTTCTATCATAAAATGCATCTTTCATGGCAGCACTTTTCCCAATAGCCAAAACGTAGAGACAATTGAAATGTCATCAACAGATGAATGGATAAACAAAATGTGGTATATGCATACAACGGAATACTACTCAGCCTTGAAGAGAAATGAAGTCCTGATGCATGCCACCACATGATTATGCTTATGGAAATGGAACAACAGAATGAAAATAATGAGAAACTTGCACACTGTGAAAAATGTAAACACTGTCACTGAGCAAACTGTATAGAAATTGTTGAATGGGAACCTAATTTACTGTGTGAACTTTCACCAAGAACACAATAAAATATTTAATTTAAAAAAATTATGTTGGGGGAAATAAGTCAGTCACAAAAGGACAAATACTGTATGATCTCACTTCTATGAAAAGGCAAATATATAGAAACTAAACTTACTAGTGGTTGGGGGGAAGGAGCTATTGCTTAGGGGGCAGTGAGTTTATGCTAATGGTAGTGGAATAATTTGGAAAAGGATAGAGAAAATGGTTGCACAGCATAAAGAATGTAATCAAAGTCACTAAATTATACATGCAGAAATTGTTGAATTGGCAAATGTTTTGTCGCATATCTTTCACCACAATTACGTGTGCGTGTGTGTGTATATATATATATTCATATATATATACACATATACTCATTGCCATTGAGTTGATTCCGACTCATAGCAACCCTACAGGACAGAGTAGAACCACCCTATAGGCTTTTTAAGGCTGTAAATCTTTACAGAAGTAGATTGCCACATCTTTCTCATATACGTACATATAGTGCATCATTTTCCTCCATCCTCCTGTAAGTAGGGGAATGGTGAGAGTTTGTGGGAATAAAGCACATCGGCATTTGAGGTTCTGTGAAGGAAGCCTATCATAGCTTGGCATACAGAGGGTCCACCCACCTTCCCTCCCTCCCAGGCTGAAGCATTTCCTTAGAACGGATGCCAAGCTCACGCTGATCGCTGATCGGTGGAACTGCAGGAGACAAACTGCTGCAGATGCTATACTGTCCAGATCCCCCTTCAGGACTGAAGGACTGGTTCCTCCTGCGGCTGCTGGCTGAAGAGTGCCCCTTGCCCAAGATCACACCTTCCTAGGGCAGCCAGCATCCAATGACTGGTCAATCAATGCAAGGTAAAGAGTCTGGCCTCCTGACTCCAACTCAAACAACTCTGGAGAGCCATCCCAGCTTCAGAGCCCACCACAGGGTCCACTGAAACCTGCTGTGACTGTACAGCCCAACCTCTCCCTCTGCCCAGCCCTGCTTCCTCCCCTCCCCCAGAGGCGTGGATCCCAAAAGCACTTCCCAATAAACACCCTGCATCTCACAGTCTGTTTCCTAGAGAACCTAAGCCACAACAGCTCGTGCCAGGAATGGTCTGAGAAAGCTCAAGATGGGACTTTGGAGCTGGATCGCTACTGCCCAGGTACTCATGAGGACCCCGTCCCTGGTAGAGCTTAGGCAGTCTCTGGCACAGAAAGCACTACAACTGTTAACATTTTCACTGGTAATCAAACGGGATGGTTACCAGGGGAAGGAAATGTACTAGCGGGTGTTATCTATCAGACACTCCTTCTTCCAAGGACGGCAGGCAGAGAGAGTAATCACCAGGAAGGAGGTAGGGCTACTGCCAAACATAAGGACAGAGAGGAATGTTTGGCACCCACATGACCCACCGGGGTGTCTCTTTGTACACCGTTGCCCTATTTTCACAGTAAACGGAGAAGTGCAGCAGCCGCAGTCCGAGAATCACATGGCAGCCAGGGGTCCAAACCCCTCACGTAGGGTCTTGGCCACTCCACCAGGTAAGCCACCCAGACCACTGGAGGTGCTAGCTAAGGATGACAGGAATCTAGGACGGATAGGAGGGTGATGATGCGTATGTCAGTTACGCGGTGGTGGAGCTGTAGTTTGTCCCACTAATCCTCCTCTTCTACGTCTCCCCCAGGAAAAGACTCCCACCAGGATCCTGAATGCTCTCAGAACTTACACAAAGCAAGTGGATCTGCACAGCATTATGGGTGGACTGTAGCAAATGCTATGCTGCCTAGGTCCCCCTTCAGGACTACTGGGGAGATTACAGGTCGACAGCTCTCAGCCATCACCCCTCTGGGAATTGTCCTTGGCTCAACAGAGCTCCTCGTCCAAGGTCACACCCCATTCCTGGACCAGCCCGCATTCAATGACAGGTCCATGCAGGGATATAAAGGCCTGGCCCCTTCGCCCCAACTCAGACCAACTCTGAAGGGCTGCCCCAGCTTCAGAGCTCCCTGTGGGGTCTGCCAAAGCTTCCTATGACTGCACCCCAAACCGACTTCTCTCTCTGCCCAGTCCTGCTTCCTTCTCTTCCCCTACAGGAGTTGATCCTGAGAGCACCCCCTAATAAACTTCCTGCACACTCATCTCTTGACTCAGTCAGTTCTAGGGGAACCCAACCTGTGAGACAAACTGAGATTTGAGCCCTGGGCACAAGCTGTTAACCTCTGGACTTAGCTCTTTTGTCTTCTTTAAACCCAGAAACCCCAGGTGCATATGTATGTACACACATACCACACTTTTGGCCTGCTTAGCTAAAGCTGTACCCCAGAGAGGCAACATTCTTTATCCTGCCAGGCTGAAGATACTCCTTAAAGAGAGGAGTGATCACACAGTCCCCTCCATGGCTCTCCCTGAAGTCCCATCTGGATCCAGCCTCTTCTGGGCCAAGTACGACCATCCATCATGATAAAGCGCGTCATGCTCACAGCCTTTTAACAGCCGTAGAATGGCTATTTATGCCTTCGGGCTGCCAGCATAGCTCCCTCCTGGGGGCCTTCTATGTTCTTCTGGGTCCTCAAGGGCTTTCTGCCATAAGGAGCCTCATCGTTCATCCTTTCTCTGAATAGAAAAGTCCCAGCTGCTTTGCTCAGGGGTGGATGAGAGGATAGGATGCCTCTATCACTGAGGCAGAGTGCCTGCTCTGGGAGTTTGTTAGGTCAGATGGGGAAAGAGGTCCAGAGAGGTGAAGTGACTTTCCCAAGGTCAAGCCTTAAGCCAGTAGCAGCGATGGGACTAGACTACAGTACTGTACTCTTTTTACTTCACCACACTGCCTCTCCCTAACCCCGAAGGTTTGCCTCTAATAAAACCTAGACTGAGATATAGAGAAGGGAACTGAGTTACCCTGTAAGATCTCAGAGAGAGACTTGGGACTCTGGTATATTAGAGGGCAAGAATGAGATGGGGGGCTAAAAACAGAGATTAACGGGAAGTCTGCATACAGAGTATTTGGCCCTTGCTCACCACACCCTCCATCCTCCACTCTGATTGTAGGAAGGGATGCAACCATTGTCTGTAGTGATGTGAAGCCATTAATTTGATTAAAATGTTTAAAAAAATTTTCAACTCAATACTGGTTATTTTTGTGCTTCAATCTTAGATTCAAGGTCCCTAGGTGGTGCACACCATTTGCACTCAACTACTAACCTAAGCAGTACCATGGAAGAAAAGACCTGGCGATCTGCTTCTAAGATTACAGCCAAGAATACCCTATGGGGCAGTTCTACTCTGTAACACATAGGGTCGTCATGAGTTGGAACTGACTCGATAACAACTAACAAGCTTAGATCCAGAACCTATTGTAGAAGGACAGAGGCAGGAAGGGCTGGGAAATGCCTCCTGGGGTGGAGGGAAGAATTTATACTTGTATTTTTTAAACACAAAAATCAAGTCATCATCATTCCACTCACCTGGAGTTAGAACAGGCAAATTGTTCTAACATTTCACTTTAGATTCTCATCAACTGGCCAATAGTGAACAACAGCGGATATTATTTGGGACAAGAAGGAACTCAGTCCTGCATAGTTAGGGCTTCTATTACTGGGAAATAGAAAAATCAGATAAGAAGCCAAAACAGAACTCCATCAAATTTCTCCAGTACTTTAGAAGAAGAAAAGGGAAAGCAAAGACCTCCTGCAGTAATGCGATAAACATTATATCTGGGTCCCTGGAACATTTGAATTCTCTCCTGCCAATTTCTGTGGCAAAGAAAAAATAAATTATATAATAACAATAAAAAAAAATTTCATCCCAAGACACCAGTGTTTGGATAGGAACGTCTATAGGCTAGCAATCAAATCCCCTTTACCCAATCTGCGTAGCAACACTGATAGCTCTGCGCATTTTCTGCAAGGCTGTTGGATTTGGTGGAATTTGAAACTTGCTGAGTTTTATGGATGTGTAGGCATTCCAAAAATAGAGACAAATGTCACTCTTCTAGTTCTTTCTAGAGATGACCTAGGTGGCATTTAAGGGAGGAAACAAGCATCTCATCTGGCTGCTGCATGGAGGACCCTCAAGGAAAGAAAAAGCTGGATCCAAAGTCACGGTTTAATGGTGATTTGGCTCATGAGCTGTGGAAGAAAAGGAAATCTCCACCAGATGGCAAAATTACAGATGGACAGATCATCTGTATTGCTCACAAGTTATGCAAATAACTTCAGTTTTTGTTTATCCATTTAACCTAAGTCTCTGCCCCTACCCCAACTCAGTAAATAGTATCACTAAACACCTGGCTGCTCAGGCCCAAAACTTAGGAGTCATGCCTGAGTTCTCTCTTGCTTTCACTCTCTCCCTCATCTATCAACAAGTCCTTCACTCTACCTCCCAAACATCCAAATCTCTCCATATCTCTCCATCTTCACTACTCTCACCCTAGCCGAAGCCACCATTCTCTCTCCTGGACTACTTCATTTACCTCTTAACTGGTGTCTCTGCTTTGTTCTTGCCCCTCCCCTCTACCAACTATTCTTCACACTAGCATTCTTTACAGATTAAATAAGATCATGTCACTCTGCTGCTGAACTCTCCAAAGCCTTCCAGTTGCACTTACAACAAAATCCAAACTCCATCATGTCCCACAAAGCCCTACATTTGGCCTCTGCCTAACTCTCCAACATCTTCTCATACCACTTTCCGGCCACACCAGCCATCCTGCAGTGCCTTGAACATGACAATTTCTTCCCTGCCCCCTCCCCTTATGCGCTTTGCACATGCTGTTCCCTCGGTCTGGAAGTCTTGCCCAGATCTTCACTGGGCAGGTCTTTTATGATCTCAGAGCAAATAATGTAACTTTCCCTGACCATCATAATTATTACACTTCCCCTACCCCTACCCCGTCACACCGACCCCCATTTAATTCATGGATCTCCAACACCTGGCATTATCTTTACTTTAAAATATCCACCTTTTACGTGTTTCTGTCTCTTCCCTACCAGAAGTTTCACGAGAGCTGGAAGCTCATCAATCTCTCGTCCACTCCAGTACTGCCAGCACGTAGAACAGTGCCTGACGCACAGTAGGTACTCGATAGCTATTTCCTAAATGGGGCGATTCCCGGAGTTGACAGACACACAACCGTCAATGATAATACAAGGTGGCAGGGCTGTGCGGGCTGGCCCCTACCCCCGTGTCACTCGGTGGGAGTCTGGGCCCGCCTCCTGCTAGAGTACTGGCGTCTCCATGCCACCCCCGTCTCCCTTTTGAAAGTTTAAAGACTGGGGGGTATTTTGTGCCTAAACAGTAATCAACAACAACAATATTATCAGCGATAAAGCCAAGAGGCGGAGCAGCTGGCTGGAAGAGAACGGGAGCAGGACAGGGGCCTGAGCCGGGCTGGTCGCGTCCAGGGCCGGCGTAGCCAAGCGGGCAAACGAGGGAGGGCCGCAAGGGCGCGGAACGGGCCCGGGGCGGTCTGGAGAGTCGCGCCGCGGGCCGCGAAAGGCAGCCACGAAGCGGACGGTTGAGCCCGGAGCACTGAGCCAGGTAGCCACGGTCCGGGAATCCCGACTTCGCCAGCGCCCCCGCTTCGCTTCCGGGTGAGAGGCGGGCGGGCGGAGCAGTTCCGGGGCGGGCGGCGGTTCCGGCTGTGCGGGCCGCGCCGCGGCTGCTGGTCCCGGG